AAAAAAACTAGTTTCTAAAAACCACGAAACAACAGCCTCAAAAATTACCACAGGACTGAGTCTACACCTCTGTGACCCAATCTCAACAACAACTCTGCATCGCGAGCTGCACGAAGCTGGTATATATGGTATGACTGCTATTCAGAAACCACTTGTAACCAATTACAGTGCACAGCAGCGCATAACCTGCTGTAATGAGTACAAAACCTAGACGTCTGAGCAGTGGGAGAAAGTAATATCTGCTGCGTCATATTTTACTCTTTTTTTTTTTTGCTACATTTAGACAAGTTTGTTAGGCAAAATCCCCCCAAAAAAGCCTACATTCCTGTCTGGAAACTACCTGGTCCAGCTGTTAAACATGGTGGTTGATCTGCACCCGTCATGTGAGAGAGCTTGGGTCCAATTATTGCTCTGTGTGGTAGGATTACAGCCAGGGCATATGAACCCATTTTAGGCGACCAGGTGCACCCTTCACCAAATGAAATAAGGCGGAACTTGAGTTCCTGCAAGCACCAAAGTAGGATTTAGTCAGGACACTAGGGTTTAACAAGTTTCTGAACAGTGCCCCGGAATCTTTAATGGCGATGCTTTCAGAGTCTATTTAATCTCTCATCTAAAGAACTGCAGCTCCTCCAGCACCCCAGTGTTCTCCAGTTACCTCACTGGGGCATTGTTTTTTTCTGGACCAGAGGGAAGACTGCCACCTACTGGCCAACACCTCTAACAGCACCAGCCTGTTTTCCCTGGGTATCCCATCCCTGTACTCACCAGGCTCAGCCTTTCTCAGCTTCTAAGATCTGATAAGATCATGCTACATGTTGGTGAGGTTGTTGTAATTTCTTTAAAATGAGAAGCTTGAGTCAGGCAGGCTTGAGTCTGAGAGTTTCCTAGTTGTCTGAGCTAAAGAGGTGTGAAAAATGAGATATATTATTTATACAGGAGAATAGGAAGGATTCGGATGGTGGTTTCTTGAAAGGGGAAGCAGGTATGCAAGTAGACTTGTGAAAACTATGGGGAGTAATGGATTGCAGAGTGATTGTTCCCCAGTAAACTGATGGACACTGACCCCTCATTGTCCGTCTCTCTCCTTGTCCGTAGTCCGGCCTGGTGTACACTGAGGATGAGTGGCAGAAGGAGTGGAATGAGCTACTGAAACTGGCCTCAAGTGAGCCCAGAATACACTACACCACAAATGGGAGCAACTGCTCAGGGTAGGTACAGCATCTGCACACCTGGGACAGAAAACTGGCTGTTACCAGTGCAGTGAAGTTCTAAAAATACAGCCTTATCTATCCCTGTGTCATGCTGCTGTTTAAATTGTTATATAATCATGAGAAACAGTGTGGCAATCTTTCAAATTCAGAGTAAGTGTAAAACCTGAAAACTGAAATTCAATGTTCTCCCTTTCATTTGTGCTGAATGGGGAATTAGCTGATATTTTGACACAATCTTTCTGGGTGGACTGCCGACCAAATTCAAAGCTTGGTGTTGGTGTTAACAGTTCACAGTTCCAGTTATTAATTTCAACATGAAATAATTAACACTCACTTCAGACATGATAGTGAAAAACGGTTCCATTCCTATACAGGACTATAGATTTAACAAGAAAAAGACAAGTTCCACACCACACAACTTAATATTTATAGCAACATGATGTAAAGTTTTGTTTTCAGCATTGTGACACTGTTGCAGACTCTTCCCAATTTCCGAATCCCAAATCCCAAAATCAAAGGAATGCCGTGTCCTATGATCTAAACTGATAATTCCAGTGACTCTCAGTATTACCCCAGGTTGTACTAGCCAGTGAAAGTCCTGGGTTTAGCAGGCAGAAGACACAGCATGTATTTGGACCAGCCATCTCTGGCCTGTTAGTACCAGTTAGTTCAGCTATCTTTTATTGCAAAGGTGTCGCAGTTGTTAATATAACTTAGCTCTACTACAATGGATAATCTGAAAGCATGGTGCCATTAGAATGGTCTAAACCAGAGCTTTTATTGGATGTACACAAACAAATGCTACTAAACCAAAGCTGTCCTGTTGTTTTCTTCAGTTAGACTAGTGTTCGGCTGTTTTCAGAGCAACGTTATTCATTAAAAGTCTGGTGTGATTTAATTGGACCTAATAATTGACCAGAGGAGTTGTGCTGGTGCTTCAGTATTCCACTTCGAATCTTGTGGTAGATTGGAATCTGTTTTCTGCTCCGCTCAGAGCATCTTCATGTTACTAGCAGTGCGTGGCTGTTGACCGCTGACTTTTATTGTCCCCCTTGCCCGCGGGCAGGGCGGAGTCGTCGGAGGAGCCCGTCTATGAAAGCCTGGAGGAGTTCCATGTGTTCGTCCTGGCCCACGTGCTGCGGAGACCCATCGTGGTGGTGGCCGACACCATGCTCAGAGACTCTGGAGGGGAGGGTGAGACGTCTGCCGCCGTGTCCTGTCTTTGAAACCATGCGGTCCCACGGGGCTCGGCCAGTAAGAGAGGAGCCTGGGACAGCTACGTCATGTCCTCTTGTCAAACGCCTGCTTGTGCTTCAGCCTGGCTCTGAGGGTGCCAGCTTCACACACCTGTTAACTGGTAACTGCTGGACAGAGACCCAGATAACCTGCAGAGACAAAATACACCATTCAGTTCGCTGGCGGGAAGAGGCCAATGGGAACTCAATACTTTGTTGGTGATTGGATGAATCTGCTTGTAGATACATTGCAATTCCATGGAGACACCCTGTAACATGGCAGCTGCTGTTGTGGCAGAGGTTTGGTTGACTGGGGCATCAAGAGATCCATGTAAGGGTTCGATAAGGTTTATTTGGAGAGACATGGGTTCAGTACTCCAATTCGCACAAGGCATCAGCGCCACTCGTTGCTGCAACAGTCGCTCGTTAGCCTTTTGAAATGATTGAGACAGAGGAGTCACACAGTCAGCCAGAGCTCCCGGTTTCATGGGGCTCTGGAGAGGGAGTGGTAGTAGGTTGAGGTCTCTTGCAGTTTATAGAGAGGTTAAGGTTCAAACACCACTCGGAAAGCATTCGGTGAAAAGCGGGTTGGTGGAAGATGGGAGATGTTTCCGCTGCTGCTGGTGTAGGCGGTACAGTTTCCTGTCAGCAACCAACGACAGTGGGAGAGAGGTAGCTGCTCCAGCTGGTGCTGCTGTAGGACGCTGGTATGAGTTATGGTTAGTATCGCTGGCCAAACAGCATCAGCTGGGTAGAGTTTATGCTGCAATTATTAGTGGTTCAGCTACTTTCTGGTTAAGGGTTTGGTTCTCCATCACAGGTAAATGGTTATATGGTTACAAACCCCAGGGTTGGGGTTGTTGGGGATTCCAGACTGCACCCCTTACCCATAACTCCACTGTGTGCGTTGAGGCAGCTGCGGGGATTCCCTTGAGCACAAGTCCACAGGTGTGGGACTCCTGAGGAGTGTTTGCCCTCAGCCTGCGTGGAGGTGGTATCTGGGAGTACCCCCCGGTGGTCAGTCACACACAGAGGTCAGGGCTCCTTCTCCCCAGGAGGGGAAGCGTGGTTATCGGTGATCCTGGAGGAGTTTATATCCACGAGAAGACGCCTGGTGATTTTGTGAAGTATGGACTGGGTTTGGGGTTGGGGTTTACAGCTGTCAAATAGAGATGGAACCACAATTGACTCTCATGACAATTATTTTAATTGTACTGTTCCAGGTGAAGGTTATAAACTGTGGTTTATGGCTTATAGAGGTGGGTGTGTTGTTATCTTGGCTGTGGATGTCTGGTCATGCGGTGGTTACGTTTTGCAGTTTGGGTTGTTGTATTAGTCTGTGTTAGGGTTTTAGTTATGTTTCTCAGTTATAGGTTTCAGATATAAAACTAGACCCTGTAGGGCCTTGTGAAGCTTGGAGTGTTACCAAAGGCTGAGTCTTCAGTCCTGTCATGAGCATGCTTTGGGATGTGGAATAGAAGTTTGGGGTCACAGTCTTCCCAGAGCTGATAAACAACAGTTGTAGAAGAAAACCCAGTCGCAAGGTAATGAAAATGAATAGCTCAGAAACTGCTCAAAGATTATCATAAAGAAAATGGATCCTATCTGTGCTTAGAGCGTTCACACTTCATGTCAGTTTGACAAAATACTGTGTTCTATGGTGCAGATTTGAGTAATTTTCAAAAATGCAAATTAAACCATCTCGGAAGAGGGTTGATTTAGATGTGATTATTAAGGAAATTCAGCAATGAAGACTCATCAAGAAGTGTTTTTAACTCCTGCAATACAATGCAATACAATGCAAGCTCAGGCCTGCATTGTATGAGAAGGTCCCACTGCGGAAGGGATCCTGTTGAATCTAGTGCTCCTTACTGTGATATCCAGCTCTAGAAGCAGATATGTATTTTGAAATAAACCAGAACTGTGCACCAGAACATACAATTTAAGGAACGTTGTACTCTGTTCTGAAACACAAAAGTTGAGTTAAGTGGCAGTCAGGAAGTGACAGGCTATGTAAGTCAGGAAAGTGGGACCTACAGTAAGTAACGATACATAAATAGACAGATTACAAATACTGGTAGACATGTTTCATCTTTGGACCTTTCTCTTTTATTACAAAAGTTTAGCAGTTGTAAATATAACTTAGCGCAACTACAGTGGATCATATGAAAGTAGTGCCATCAGAATGGTCTAAACCAGAGCTTTTATTGGTCATACACAAAAATGCTACTAAACCAGAGCTATCCTGTTCTTTTCTTCAGTTAGACTGGTGTTCGGCTGTTTTCAGACCAATGTTATTCATTAAAGTCTGAGGCTGGTGTCACTTAATTGGACCTAATAATTGGCACAGTTTAATTTGCAATGGCTGTTTGATGCCCGATAACCCACCAGCCCTTTACGGACAAGGGGCTCCAGGACCAGGTCCCAGACCAGTGTTTTCTCACTCGGCTTTGGGTTCTTGGAAGATGGTCATCCCCCACCCGACCAGGGGGGGATCACTCACGAACGAGTTCACGTTCTAGCAGCTGCGAGCCGGGATGCGGAGGAGGTGCCTCCTGCTGGTCCTGAAGCTCTGCTCCTCTCCCGCCAGCCTTTGCGCCCATCCCGTTTGGGGGGATCTACCTGCCCCTGGAGGTGCCCGCCGCCAAGTGCCATCGGTCCCCGCTGGTCCTGGCCTATGACCAGGCTCACTTCTCTGCGCTGGTGTCCATGGAGCAGAAGGACAGCTCCAAAGACCAAGGTAACGGCCGCAGTGAACCCCTCACCTTCACCGTTTACAGCGCCACTGCACTCCCAAGGCAGAGGCCGAGCGCTCGCCTCTGGCCGACACGCGCTGGAGAAAGGGTTCTGGGGGTGAAGTGGGCGGCTCGCTGAGACACGGTTAAGGGCCTTAAAGGTGAAATTCAATTCTGGAAGGCAAATAGTTTTGAATACTTCGTGTTAGTTTGTTGTTCTGTTTCAGCCTGATATGCATGTCTTTCCACAGTTCTCAAATGTCAAGTCATTGAGAAAATAGCCATTTCTCCAGCCCTCATCGGTCTTTATAGGAGCATAGCAACACAGTTACGTAGCTCCAGCACTTCTTCAGAGAGGAGACCACAAGTCATAGCACCGCTCTCGAATGAGCAACATACAGCCAGGAAGAACACACGGATCGTCCCCACATCAGAAGCTACATTGATACTTGTTATATTTCTTTTCTGGTTGTAAATTAAACCTTAAACAAAAAGCTGACTGAGTCCAGCACTTGCATGACACCCAGATCATGCATGCTGTTTTATTGGAGGCAATACAGTTTAGTTCAGAAGTCGGAAAACCTTGAACTACAGCTGGCGCAAAAACGGTTTAGTAGAAATTGCTCCATGTTGTAGATTGAAGAATTTTAAAATGTTGTTACGGTTACGTTTTTGGTAACTGTGTGATAGATCGAAATAACAGGTTTGGTTTAATTTTAACATGGACAACCGAAAGAAAGTTCAGTATAATGTCCTTTGTTTCAAATTAAGATGCAATTGTGCGTTTTTTCGCTTCGTCGTTACATGCAGAATGTGTGAATATACAATTGAAAGCCTTGAGCGAGATGATAAAGATTGCTCACGCATAGTTGTTGAATTTGACTTTTTGGTATGTTTTCACTGAGAGTATAGCAGAGCATAGAAGAAATGAAGTCGAGTTCTAATGGTGCTGATGTTTTCAGAGACAGGACGTCAGTGCTTGTATTTATACAGATAGACTCCAAACCTTGCAGTAATCTTTGGCCTACTCTATGTCACGCTGTCGCAGAACTGACTAATTCTAATACGAACAGGTATTAAGTAGTATTTTATGTCACTTGGAACACAGCAAAGTAAGGTGTTTGGACCTGGGGCCAGAAATCTAGTTTTGTTCGGGGCCAAAATGTAAAAATACCAGTCATTTAACCCTTAAATAAAGTGCAAAGCCAGCCCTCACAGTACTGTATACAGTATTTTGTAGAAGGTTTCATACATTTTCATTTCCTTTGATAGTATTCCAGCATAAACATAACGGGTATACAAGGAAATCAAGCTTCAAAACTTCCAAGCTGATTTTAAACTGCAACAGTGGACAAAGTAGAAGTAGGCCTACTTTAGTACATGTGCATTATGGGTTGTTGTGAAGTAACAGGCCAGCCTTCTTGTCTATAGTAAAATCCTGGAGTGTACTGCCTCACAGGGACATACACTGTGCTGGGACAGAACACCTGCTGTGGCGAGAATGGGCTATTCCAGTGGGATACAGTATTCTCAGTTTTGTTTAATAAGCAGACATACTGTACTAACAAGCTAGACAGAGATTTCATTTGACGTTGAGCAGAATCTGGGCTCTTCTGCCGTCTCCTCTCTCTAGCTGTGATTCCCCTGACGGACTCGGAGCACAAACTGCTGCCCGTGCATTTTGCCGTGGACCCAGGGAAGGACTGGGAGTGGGGGAAGGACGACGCCGACAATGTCAGACTGGCCAGGTAGGGTACACTCTCGTTTCCAGTCTGAGCTCCCCAGCAGATGAACTCCGAGCGGACCCAGATCGGTGGTTTCTGTTCTTTGGTCTTCTAACCAATGTCCATCAGTGTCCAACAAGTGTGATTTTTGGAACTGGTTATTACTTGAGCAGTTCAGTTACGAATATGTTATAAAACAAGGTAACCCAAAATAGAGGAAGAATCGGTGCCCACAGGGCTGTCTATCACAGAAATCTGCCTGAAGTGTCATGTGAAGAAACAGGAAATCAAACACTCCGTAAAATCATTTAATCAGATATGCTTTGCAAGCTGTTACACTGCTTTTGATAATTCTGCTTCTGCAGAATTATATAAATAAAGCAAAACGTTTTATGCTGTACTCTGTTAGCACACATTTTCAAATAGGTCTTTGCTTCCTTTTCAGAAATTGCTCATTTCCAAGAGCAGTGTGTAGTTTCTCTAGTGAGACATGCACTACTTTTTGAGCAGTGCCTTCAGATTTCTTAAACATTGCAGTACCAGGTGTTGTATTTCTTAGAAAGCCTGTGAAACCTGAAATGGACCCATTGCATGAGTTTTGAAAAGCAGTCTTTCAGTTGTGCTCCTCGGTTCTTCATGCCTGCTCTTCTCCCTTTCCCTGCAGTGTGACCCTCTCCCTGGAGGCCAAACTGCACTTGCTGCACAGCTACATGACGGTGACCTGGCTCCCCCTGCCCTGCGAGGCACAGGTAACCCTCTCCCCTCCAAAATCCTCCGCCTTCGCCTCAGCTGGAAGCAGCTGCCCAGTAGGGAACCATCTTTCTGTCACAAGCTAGAAGTTTTAGCATGAAGTAGTCCAGGTGGGGAGCTGCGTCAGCATGTTTAGACTAAGGGATCATGTAATGGGTTTATTCCATGCTGAAAAGAGAAGAAAGAAAACACAACGTTTCAGCTGTGGAGCCTTCTTCGGGTTTTTTTTTTTAGGTCAAACTCTTTTAGAAGATTGATGGCCATCTTGTCGAGAAGCCTTCTTCAGGGCTCCACGACCAAAACATTGTGTTTTCTTTTTCTTCTCTTTTCAGCCTATTTTAGCATGAAGTTGTTTGTGCAAGGCTGAAAAACTGTTGATGCTATACTGATACAATACTGAAATCTTGTTCAGAAAGTCGCTAGGAACAGTGTTCTTTCACTGCGCCTCTATCTCATCCTGAGACTGAGTAGAAACAGCCGTGCGACATGTGGACTCGCCAGTCTGCGTAGGACACGCTTTCAGGGAAGCAGATTGAACGCAGAACGAACAACCGGCCGGTCAGTCCTGCGGCCCGGCCGCCTGACTCTGTGTTTCCATTCAGCAGGCCCCCCTTGCGCAGCCCGAGTCTCCGACGGCCTCAGCGGGGGACGACGCCCGCACCCCTCCGGACTCGGGGGAGTCGGACAAGGAGTCGGTGTGCAGCAGCTCCAATGGCAACGGCGGCGGCGGCGGCGGGGGAGCGAACGGGAACGGGTCGGCGGCGGGCAGCGGCAAAGCAGCGGGTTCCTGCAGCTCTTCCACCTCCTCCAGCAGCTCCTCTGGCTCCAGCGCGGGGGCCAAGGAGAAGGCCAAGAAGGACAAGGACAAGAAGAGGGCCGACTCGGTGGCCAACAAGCTGGGCAGCTTCGGCAAGAGCCTGGGCAGCAAGCTGAAGAAGAACGTCGGGGGGCTGATGACGGGGAAGACGGCGGGCAGCGGGAGCAAGCAGGCCGGGGAGACGCAGGAGAAGAAGAAGAAAGGCTCCCTGAAAGGCCGCAAGGGCAGTAAGGAAGGATCCCCCTCTTCCCAGGGAGGAGGTGGAGGAGGGACAGGCTCAGGGAAAGGGTCCCCGTCTTCAGAAAACGAGCGCCAGTCCGGGGACCCCTATAAGTACAGCACTGACGTCAAGCTGAGCCTCAGCATCCTGCGGGCGGCCATGCAGGGCGAGAGGAAGTTCATCTTCGCCGGGCTGCTCACCACCAGCAACCGGCAGCCCTTCCAGGAGGAGATGATCCAGCGCTACCTGCTGGACGCCGAGGAGCGGTTCCAGGCGGAGCAGGAGCAGAGGAAGGAGGCCGAGCGGAAAGGGGTGAGCGGCATGGCGGCGCCGCCCCCGCCCAGCGGCCCGGCCGGGAGGAGGGACGGGGCGGACGGGAGCTACCGCTGCTACGAGCCCAAGGAGAACCCCGCCGACGGCTCCCCCCCGCCCTCCTTCAGCCCCCCGGCCCTCAAGGCCTCGTCCTTCTCGCCCACGCTCTCGGGCGTGCTGACCATCCCCCGGCCCAGCCTCGTGGGCCCGAGCGGCGGCCCGGCCTCCCTCCCCCACTCCCACCCGCTGCCCCCCAGCTACCTAGAGACGCGGCGCCAGCTGGCGGGCGGATCCTCCTACGGCAGCCTGCCGTCTTACGCCACCCTGCCCCGCCACTGCCCCGTGGCACAGGGGCCGCCCCACCCGCAGTACCCCCCGCCCTCGGGGAGCCCCTCCCGCGTGGCCCGCTGCTTCTCCCCCTCGCCGAGAGACGACGACCCCTCTCCCGGCTACCCGTCCTCTCCGTACTTGCCCCAGGAGTCCGGCTGCGAGGGAGGCTACAGCAATGGCTACAGGGAAACCCAGCGGGGCCCGGACTGCAGGAACTCAACCCCCCCGGGCAGGCACTTTCCCGTAGGCACGGGGGCGCAGCCCACCAAATGCAAAACCCCCACGTGCACCTACTACGGCCACCCAGAGACCAGCAACTACTGCTCGTACTGCTACCGCGAGGAGCTCAAGCGCAGGGAAGCAGAGCCTGCCTCTCACAGGTTCTGAAGCGGCAGCCCAGAGTCCGTTCTCCTCCTCTCGTTCCTGCTGTTTTTTTGACGAGGGGAGAGTTTATGCAGAAGCCTCAGCCCCCACTCCCCCCCCCCCCCCCCTACCCACCCACCTCTTCATCACCAACGTCGTCACTGGAAGTTTGGGTAACACGACCAGAACCATGAAAAATTCCAAAAATGTCCTCTCTGGCCATGTTGATTGGGAATGCAATAATGCTAACGATAGTAATAATTCAATCACTCATTAATAGGGTGCATTTGATGGCAAGGGGCAAGTGAGTGGGGGATGGGGGGGGGGGCTACATCCGTGAACGGATTGGGAGGGCAGAGGTCAAAGGTTCCCTTGCATTGTTCTCGATTTCTTTTGTGTAACACCTGCAGCGTTCCATAGCTACCCCACCTCATTCTAAGTGCTCCTTCAGTTTTGGTTGGTGTTTTTTGCCGCGTTATTTAAATTTTCTAGGTCAGTCTGTCAATAACTATGCCAACTGCCTTTCTGCACTCTGCACTTGCTGTCTTCTCGAGCTCTAGGGGTCGGGTGTGAACTGCAACTTTTCTCGAATGCCTTTGCATCCCCCCTTTGTGCTTTTAAGCAGGGGCGATTCTCTAGGAGGATGTGATCCGTGAAGTTTTTCCTCAAAACGAACGTGGACAATGTCTTATGAACATTTCCTAGCGGACAGAAGTTGGGATTGCAAGCAGAAGATTTAACTTGAAGAGAAAGGGAAAATTGCTTAGCCACACAATTAAAAGCTTTTTTTTTTTACATGTCCCATGTTTCCTGGAATATATTCCTTAAAACAGTCTATTTAACTAAATTGCAACATGGATTTAAAACAAGTTTAGAAGCAGAACTAGAGACATCAGTTCAGCCATTCACAAAACTGGAATGTTCCTACAGGATAGAAGACTCAATTCTGTGAATAAGAGAGCAGAATGTACAGCAAACAATGTCTGCTGGGGGATAGAGACAGGTGCGCTATGTGTTAGGCCCATTTGGTGGTAAAAACCAAGATACACCACCTAAACTGGTGAAATTGCATGTGATGGGTGGTTGAACAAGCAAGGAAAGAATACTGTAGTAAGCATTAGGAAACCTGAACTGATTTTCCAAAATTTAGGTATATCCATTGATTCCAAGATGGCAGCGTCCATGTTTAGGGGTTATGTTAGCATTTTTAATCTGTTCGTGTTATTTACCATATGTTAAATTAATGATTGTGTTATCAATGGTCATTTATTTCTGAGGAACGGTCTTGAAATTTTCCCTCTCCCTTTAAGATCTTCTAAGCTAGTTCCTTCCAAAATCAGTTCATCAGGTACTCTGGTCTTTTATGACTCACTTTCCATTGAAATATTGACCAAATTTGGACCTGTTCAAGTAATTTTAACCTATTAAACCTGTCTAGTAGTTTTCTGATCTTGTTTTGCTAAAAGTTATTTTTTCAGCAATGTATAGAAAACCAATATACTTAATTAAACAATGCTCAACTGGAAAACGAAAAGCTAGAAGACTCTCTTGTCACAGTGACTGTAGAAATAGTGCACAAAGACATCACTTTTCATTGCAGTTTAGCAATAATGAGCTATTGAAGTAATTTGTCAATTGAAGGACCCAAAGGACTACAAAAGTGTCAAGGTCTTCAAACAATGGTACTAGAGGGGCCCTTTTCAGCAAAGTTTAATGTAATAGTATTAATTAGAAATGATTTGCAATAAAAATGTAAATACAGTTCAGCCCTCAAGATGAAGGTGATTCACCTGAACTAGGTGATTTTGGCAGATCTGGAAAATGGTACACTGCGACTCTAAAGAACTAGGAATGGAATCTATGCAAATTAGAGGAATGGTTTCACCATAAAGCCCAGCACAGCTTGCAGTGGGACAAACAGAGCTGTCTTTGTTTAATGTTGGAGTGTTTTGAAAATGCCTCGAGTAATAGCAGAGGAAAAGTAAATCATCAATTCAAAAGCCCCGTAATTGCCACTAATCCTTCAAAATGATTACATTTAAATTGATCTTTTCATGAAAAATGCAGCAGATCTGGGCTACTATGCAAACCTACAGCAAATCCCTCGTTTGCACAGATTAAGCTCACATTTTGGAGTGCCCAACATGGAGTTCTGTTAAAATTGGCTGTATTCAGTAGGAGTTATTTTGTATGTAATATTATATTCATGAATGAATTACTCCATTGTGTAACTTTCAGTGTCAGTCAGCCTTGATTAACCAGATTGTTCAGGGGTTATTCTCCTGCATATATGCAGTAATTGCATTAGGAACACAGCAGTTGAGTGTGTGGTTCACACTCGGCCCGAGGACACATTGTCCTTACTTCTGTGGGCTTCCTGAAGAACCACCGCTGACACACAAACTGCTTCACTTCACATTTTGCTACTTGCATTGCTTGTAAGCTCTTGAGCTGAAGTTTTCCCCCTGCTAACATGAGTATGCAGCACACTTCTGACTGATGTTTTCAAGAGCTTGCCGACTGCTGACTGGGAGGTGACTTGGAATTTGAAACATAGGATCAGATCCCCAAATTTGTATCTGTTTGTAATTACTACTCATTTTGGGAAATCTAGGAATAGTTAAAAAAAAACTCCCAAGTTTGCTGGATGTGTGCTTTTTTATGATTTGATCATAGTTATATTTGCACAGTTACAGTAGTGGAAACTGTAGCATTAGCCATTTTGAATTGTATATCGATACTGTATACCTGAAACAATCATTACCTAAGGGAAACCTTAGGACTTTTATTAAGCTATACAAATGAGTGGTGAAGTCCCAGATACTCCTGGCCTCTCAGTCTTCACTAACAGCTCGATGTCAGTAACAGGCCAATCAGTTTTTATTCTTCACCAGGTGGAGACTGTGCGTTCCCATTTGAGAGCATAGCCAATTTTGAAGTCTTGCTTACTGTCGAGTTGCTAGTATGAGTGTGCTACGATAAGTCAAAACAAAAGCTTGCTGCCCCTAGTGATTTTTCCCCCCATTATCATGACATTAGACCTGTTTGTCGGCATTATCCTGCAGTCCCAATGAGCTCATTCACATTTTCCTTCCTGATGTTGTACCCATTTGCAAATACTTCTCACACTCCCATAATTGTGCCCATACTGTGTGGATCTTATCTGATCTTATCTTATCTTATTTCTTTGTGTCTCACTAGGCGATGCTCCTTCTCTCCATAAAATGAACTAAAAACTTTAACGCATTATACAGTTCACTGATGGTGCTGCTATATTTGAACCTTAGCAAGTGCCTCTTTTGGAGAAACTGTTAATTATTTCAGGTTTTTGAAAGGTCCTATTCTAATTTCACACAAGAGAAATGGAACATAAAGCTTTTGAAAGAAATGATTGAAGTGTCACGGTTTATTAAAACCCTTGTATTTTCTATCCTGTAATTGATATATGATTATGCTCTTACAGTATTATGCCCTTGTGTTCAGAACATGAAATATCTCAAATTTAATATTTTGAAGAAGAGAGGAATTTCTTAATGGCCCATTGCATATTTCTGGATTTACTTGGCATTAAAAAATATCTTTTTTATTTTGTATGTGAGTTTTGAAAAAGCAATACTGGCTGAACTGGTGGCACAGACTCTCTTGTTTTCCATGCTTTGTCAGGTTTGTCAGAGTTGCAGTTAATGGATTCTGTCCGTGTTGGTTTCATTCTATTTGGATGCTCATAAAAACCATGTAAATTTTGCAAAACCAGTTCAGGATGGTATTTAAACTTTTTCTCATAATGTCCAATACATCATGCGTTTACAGGTAATTTCAAAAGTGTTGGTGGTAAAAACTACATTTTGTAGGAAATAACATAATATTTTGTAGATTGTTGCTGTGCTCCCTGACCTTAATACATCTTATTGTAGTTTCCATTTATTTCGTGCAGATTGGATATTTATTTTCAGTTTGCTATTGTTGGCTTTGAACAACTTTGTTGAATGGAAACTCCAATGTGGTAAATATGAATGGGAGGATGATGTATACTGTATGTACTCTATGGGGATGAGTTTGGTCTCTGCACTGCTGGCCTCAAAACTGAGTCCTTTTGTACAACCTTAGCACTTTCCTTCAGAACTAATGTGTAACGGTGTCTTGTGTGTTAACTGTTTTCAAATTACTTTGGGCTGTTTGTCAATACTTCAGCACCATGGACAGCAGCTTGGTTCTAGAGAATGGTGAGAATGGTAAACATTATAACGGCATGAGACACATTGCCAGCTATTCTTTCACCTGAGGCAGCTGTTGGGCCCGGAGCTTCACTGTTTTCTGGTTAGTGACTTTTGCAGTCAGCTGTGCAGTGAATTTTACCTCTTAATTGCAGTACTATCAGAATTGTTTCTCTTGCTGTTTATTCCAAGATGATCAACTTTATTACAGAATTGGTCCCTTTATAAAAACACTTAGAACCAGAAGCTTTGAGGCTAAGTAGTATGAAATATTCGAAAAAGGGTCATCTAACTCCCATCAGACTGATGCATTTGTGTTCTGATTGCTTTGACAGGTTCTGCTTAATTTGAATTTACACAGTGTCTTAAAATCGTATGTCAGTGTTTTACAAAAGTCATTGAGATCATTTCTGAATGTAGAAATTCAGAATTTGAGATCATTTCTGAGTAGAAATCTCCAATATGAATGACACTTAACAAAAAAGGCACCAAAAGGTGTACAGTTCTTATATTGTTAACAGTAGTAACAGGTTATTAATTCCTCTTAAGATATCTTCTAACAACTACAAGCATGTCTTTGGACTGTGGGAGGAAAGGGAGAAAACCCAGAGGAGACCCACAGAAACCTGGGGAGAACGTGCTAACCCCCAGCAAACAGCACCCCAGAAACTGAACTGTGAGGCAGCAGAGGTGCCAATCAACAGTATTATCATCTGAAATATTATTACTAGACTTTAGAAGCAGGAGGACAAGAAACCTGAGTTGCTGACCTAAATCCAGGCCCTGTAAGGTATTTGTGTTGGGCTTTTATTGTCATACTGACAAGTCACCGTCTTTATCCTTAACTTCCCCCTTTAATTTTCCAAAATGTACGTTTCTCTCGTGGTACTTCAGTTAGCCACCACAGCATAGCACATGGAAGCTGACACTGATGGAATCCATATCAAACAGAGTCCCGTGGTAAGTGGTCAGTGTCCTTGAGCTGAAGTTGACTCTCTTAAGGAGTCTGGCTTTGAGAGAGCTCGTCTCGTATAAGATGCAGGAAGTTAGTGGAATGTTCAGTATTGACTTTTACATTTCGGTCTTACTCATTAATAATAAAACTTCTTGAAGATTTATTTGCTCCAGAAAAAAACCTTAGTGTGGAAATAATACCTTGTTGTGGCAGGAAAAAAAGAAAAATGTAAGGTCTGTGTTGATCTGTATCCAGTGTTAGTGGATCTTTTGAAAGCAATATTAAAAAAACAAAATGAGAATGTTGTTACTTGGGTGGGTACAAAATGCTTAAATTAACCCAACAGCTGAACTACCTACAGTACATAGGTCTTTGCACTCTTGTAAAATGTAAGATTAACGCAAAAAATGTCTGAATTATAACTTTAGAAATGATCAACTTCAGGGGCAGATGCATTTTACGTTGTTTGGAGATGAAATATATTAACATGAACAAAACATAAATTTTACAGAGTGTTTTTCTTACCCCATATGCATTTCATAGCCAAGCCAAAGTGACTATTATATTAAACATTGATGCTGATCCAAACTAATAACTAATAGACAATGGGGATTATACAGCACAACATTCCGGTGGTGCAAATATTCTGTTACCGTGCTATGGTCGAGATATACTGTACATATGAAGTTTGAAATTAAAATAAACTGCAAGACTTTAAGCACAAAATCAACCTTATGAGAATGTGGCATTCTCAGATAAAAATATTCCACAAGGTCATTCGGGAAACAAACATTTTGATCTAACTGATATTTTAAACGGAGCCTTAAAGGAATTATGGCCAGTGTCTCTATTTTGATTAATTTTATGAATATAGCCTTATAAAGTCAAGCACAAATTTGCTAGAATCAATCATAAACTTGAGCATTCTCCTTGAAATGCCTAGTTTTAAGATGAGTGTGACCAATGATTGCATTGTATCTATCAACAGTTTCTGGAGAAAGTCTTAAAAGAACAGATTCTTTTGTGCAGTAAAACATGTTCATATTTTGAGGAAGAAAATAAGGAGGTGTTGAAATATTGGGAATTGAGTGTTTTCTAAGCTACTAGTATCTTTCATTTTCTTTATTTTATCTGAAACTCGTGAAGTACTGATGAGTTCTGTGCCTTTCTCAGAGCCTTTGGAATCCCAACATACAGATGCTGTTAAGGCTGGATTCACTGGATTTTATCGCACGGCCATAGATTAAACAAAAGGCACATTGTATAAAAATTCAAGACAAGGAAGGCATATTTATTTCTCAGTTTCTTTGCTCTCTTGCTTTCAACTTGTTCTGCTGCAGAAGGTGGTTAAGTTTTAAGTAACAGTTGCCTAACAATGCAAGGTCTCTTGAGAGACTGCAGAGTGGAGTTTGTGATGACCAGCAGGTGGCGTGCTTGCTATAGACAGATATTTAGCCTGTCTCTCATATCACGTCCTTACTCATTCAAGTAGTGCCTTGTTCAGGACATATAGCATTTCATAGAAGAGCCATGCTTTTTACCTGACTGTGCAAAATCATCATCATAAGTGAGAAGAAATTTAGAGTCATGAAACTAAGGGAGATGTAAAAAAAAAAAAACTGCATGCATAAATATATGTGTTTGTTTATGAGGGAATCAGATTTTTCTCTTGAAAAATGTTTGAAAAGCAATGAAGGTGGAGAAGCTAGCAGGTATACACTGAAGGTATATTCTGAAGGTCTTCTTGCTATCCTATGAACTTTGCATCATGGTGTGCTGCGAATGAACCTTGTCAGTTTAATTTTGAGAAGCTATTTTTAACCAGCTGTTTTTACTGGACAACGGCATAATGATGTCACTTCATGCTCTGGTAATTCGGTCCAAGATAGCAAGGGGTGTATGTCATTTTGTACTCTTTGCTCCTGTGGATGCTGAGCCTGACTGTATTATAGAGAAAACACGTTTTACTCTCTCAGTTGCATGAAGAAGCAATTGGAGTCCAGAAGGCTCCAGACATCCTGTTTTATTTAGGGAGGAGTGTAAAAGGACTTGTTTTGATGCAGAGTTTTTAGATTGGCGAGGTATCCCTTTCGCTTTGTTAATATGTCAGTATATGTATATTTGAAGCACCACTGCAAATGTTTGTGTGTTTTGCACAATTTTCAAACTTTTGGAATACATCCGTGTTTTTGCATTAGCATTGCGCAAAACATAAAAAGGTTTTTGTTTGCTAAACGAATTTCTCTTAACATCTTCAAAATCAAGTCTGTAAACCTAATGCAATAAAAGGTGATACTTTTCATATATCTAGCTTTTTTTTCCAGTATTACAGTTGTAACCTAATAAAGGACACATCACAGTCTTACACTCTGAAAGACCAAGTATATTCTACAGTGGCATAGTAAACTGCATACTTTACAAATCTGCCGGGTTTCTTATTGAATTTGGATGCTTTGTTAAAGAATTGGAGCCTTTGGTTTAGTTTCAAAATGATAGCGAAGTGGACTGTGTAAGGGGCTATCAAACCAGTGCCAATTTGCTTGTCTTTTCTTATTCACCTTGGAATTAATTTTACATTCACTAGTAATAAGCAATAGAAGGCCGCAAATTGAATGTGGTGAGGTGACTTAATCTGTTTGTTTTGGCTTGAATTCCAAGTGAAATGTAACTCTCAACCATTGTGTGATCAGAGAGGAGAAGGATAGGCTTCAATTCTCTGAAACCTCTAGGGAATGATTCTGGGAAAGAACTAGAAACTCCTGATTGTGTTAGACAGATGTGTTTGTTCAAAATCCCATTATTCCTAACCAGTGTGCATGTGTATGGAGACAGGGCTGTCTGTGTTCAAAGAAGCAAACGCTGGCAAACGCAGGGATGGAGTGTTGTTCCGTCCATCGAAGCTGTGGGCTTATGTGCAGGGGTTGGAGCCCTTTCTAGTCTACCGCTTCTGACGTCAAACCTGTTACTCTGTCAGCGGAAACAGTCCAGCTTGTGGAAGGGTCGCGTGTCACTTTGTGGAGCACGCCGCAGTGCGTGACTCCTCTATGCTTGGAGAAATTAAATCCCAGAGAGGGAATCGGAGAATGTGATGGTTGCTTTTTAAAAAAAAATCATTGTGTATTTGTTTTTTCATTATTTATTTTGTTTTCACTTGCAGTGGTTTCTCGCTTCACTCGGTGAAGGGAGAACAATGTGGCGTTTTCAGTGCTTTGGACTTCACCGATCTGGAAACCTCTTCAGAATGAAGAAGGTGGGAGGGGCTGGGCGAGGCTGTGTAAATCTGTATCTTCAAGTTATTTTTTTAAAGCAATACAAGACAAACCTTTTACAATGTTTTTAAAGAGCTTGGTAAGATGGGATATCGTCAAGACACTAAAAAAGCAGCACGGGAGACGAAGGGCTGCTCGTGTCACGAGTCTGGAAGTCAGTATTCTTTCAAATGGACGATCCGTATGGTTTTGAAATCGAGCCGCAAGGGGACTCCTGCACGGTATTTATTGTGAACAAAAGTATTAGCTACTCAGATCATTAACAAACTGACAAAAGACTGGTTTGAAATTCTATATTTATAGTCAAGATTTCCATTGTTTTTTTTCTTTTACTGGGAATGTTTAGCAAACTAATGGGGTGTCCTTCCCACAGTGGTTCATTGTCGGTCAGACCTTTCATTTTATTTAGATCCTTTTTAAATTAATTTATTGCCTCTGATGATACAATTGAATATTCTTCAACAGGTCAAGCTCTTGATTCAAGGTAAATTCTTTGTCAAGAATTAATAGACATATTTGGACTCTGTTAAAGGTCTTTATTTGATCCACACTTATGTATTTGGGGTTTATTTTTAAATAGGCTCAGTTTCATTCCAATAAGCACAGCTTTACTGTAAAAACTTCAGCTAGGACTATCATCTTGGCCAGTTAGTGCTGTGACACTCTGGGACAGTTGAAGATTGAAATCTTCCTTCTAAAACTCACTCTGGTGTTAAAGCCCAGCTGTAAAAGTGTTAGTCACTGAACCCAGTTTGGCTCATTGTTGTCGGGTCACACCAGTGTGGGTGATGTTTTTCCCTAAGCTGTGCACAGCAAAGCCTGAGGGAATTGTGTTCAACAACAGCAGCTGACCATCTGACCGCTTGATTGTGTTTGAGGGGAGAGTTCTACAAAGAGATTCAAAACAGAAGTATTTGCACTGATAGGTGCTGCTGGACTTGAGTTCCCACATTCTGCTGCAAAAAATATACTGTTATTTTGGGGCAAATTAAAGGGCTAAAGAGCACTACCATAATTTTAAATGACTGTTGAATTTCCTTATTCGTTTTAATACCCTGTCCCGTGTGTTTGCTTTATTTTAGTGTTCTAATACTCGGTCTGCAATAATAAAGAAAATGAAAAATGAACCATTTCAAGATCTGCCTTGAAAGTGACTCAACTCTCTGCAATATTGAACCAATGCAACAGCGCTGTCTCCTGTTAGTATTTTTATTGAATTCAAGAAGTAAGATCTTCTGTCCTTTTGTGTAGCAGAGAGCGTGTTGGTAGAAGGGGAGGTTGTGTACAGCAGTATGTCCAAGAGGCATCTCTAGAGGAAACAGCTCGATAAGAGCATCTTGAAGGTTTTGGACTTTTTTGTCCGAAAAAATTATAAACTGAGCTCTGGAATGCAATAAAGCAAAGAGCACAGGCTGTTAAAACTAATAAGGAATAGGAATTGTCATTGTTAATATTTAAAGTTTCCTGATTTACTGCCCAGCAGCTCTTTTATGAGACTTCCACTGTCCCATCGTTGAGTCAGGTGCCGACCTGTAGAGATGTGATGAGCTGGGTGGGAGAACTGATTTCACAAGAGCCAAACTGGAGCTTCGGCAATTTGCAGCTACTGGGAAGAGTCCGCTATCTCACAAACCTCTTTCACTTTGGCAATGGTAACACTTGTAGTCATTAATGGAAAAAGAAATAGTGGGCTGTACTACGTATACATTACCCTCAATCATCTTTGGTTGAATGTGCAAGATTGTTGGCCTGTCAGACATTGCAACCTCAAGGGAATGAGGACCCATTTTCATGTTCTCTCAAGTGTTTTTGCACCGTTTGAATAAATTCTCATTTTATTGCAAGAGTGGTGTCAGGTTCATCCTTTGTTCGTGCTGGATAAGTGCTGCGCCCCAGACACAATAAGGACTTTGACTCCTCTGTCAGCATTGGAGTGAAGAGCCGTTTCTGGAGGACCAGGCAGGAGGCCTCTGGCTCACTAGCACCGGGTTTGTGGTTTACACGTGCCAGGATGAAGTTCTTTCAGTGCCGTTAGCGTGTGCGTGAGGAAAGTGCGCTTTGTTAGATGCAGTGTGTGCGTTTGCTGTGCAAGGCCAGACATGTCAGACCTCGGACCACAGTGCAAAGGCCAGTGAGTGGACATCTGTTTTGACCCGTCTTCGTCTTTTCGTTTTAAGAAACGGTTAGGAAACATAAGATCATGACCAAGGCCTCTGGCACAGGCCTTGGTGGGCCAACACAGAGACACACAATGGCCATCTTCTCCCCCATCCGAGGCTGCAGGGACTGGCTGTACACTGAGACAAAAACAAGACATTTGGGTTTAAATAATTCAGTCAGTTCTAAATTTAGAATAAAAAGGGTAAACCCCTTTATCACATCGATCCACGCATTCGCTAGCCACTTTATCAAGTACAGGGTCACAGGGGGAGCTGGCGAAGAGCAGGCAAAAGACAGCTGAACCCTGGACAGGACACGAGTGCACTGTCTGACACACACAGACACACCAGGGGCAGGTTTCCCAGACGCCACCCCACCATCATGTCTTTGGACTGGGAGGAAACCAGAGCACCTTTGTGAACATGGGAAGAACATATAAACTCAGTTCAATTCAATTGATTTTTTTATAGCGTATTTCACCACAAGGTTGCCCCAAGGTGCTTAAAAATGCAAGTGACCCTTCATTTTGTGAATACAGAACAGAAGACCAGAAGACAA